AGCTCTGTTCTCTGTCGTTGCCACGTCTTAGACGTATTTCTGCTTTTCAGCTTTAATGCTCCTCTTCACCTGGTTGTTTGCTTTAGTGTACTCAACTTGTACCTTGACTTTCTGCGTTCTTGCTCGACTCTTAATAATTGCTCTCTTCTTGTTCTTCCTTTCTTGGATCTTGTCCATGGTTTCCATAGTGATCCATTCCTTATGATGAAACTTGTTGCGGTCCAGAACTTTCTCATGCGTTGAAGTTATTGCATCTTTCATCTCTTTACAGTTGTTCTCTGTCGTAGTTTCTTCTTTCAGTAGATCTTGTAAAGCTTGGAACCTGTTTTGAGAGTTATCTTGAATTGGTTGGATTTGTCAGTATGTCGAAAAAAGACTGTATTAAACCTTTGTAATGCTGTTTGTCCAGTTGTTCTTTGGTTTCCGTTTCATATTGGCAACCGGCTGGTGGTGTTCTGAAGCTATGTCAGCTCCTCTCCTTGTTCTCACGTCTTCCATTGACCTTGTGAATTTTTTCGCTGATATGGTTCTCCGTGATGTGCTCCGTCGCGACCCATGTAGCTTTGTGCATGCGTTTGTGTGGGAATATTGTTCCACCGAAAACTATTTTGTTGAATGCACATAAATTTGCGAATATATCACCATTCTCGTTACTTTCTCCCAATCCATGTCGTCTCATGATATCGTCATACCCAATATTATCCATTTCGACTTTGGCGTTTGGATCTCCTATCATAGTGGTCAGGTCCTTTCCTGAGCACTTCGCTATGATCGATCGCAGCCTCTCAATTATCTTGATACTACTTCTTAAATACGCCTTGGTGTGCTGTCGGGTTTTTATTTGAATAACTTCGAAACGTAGTCCTTCTATTCGGGAAAACTTGTCACGTAGTTACTCGATGAGAGCAACAAAGTACTGATCGATGAGGTTTTACTATACATCAAAAACGACGTCTCAGCACACTGACTTTTATAGGTTTCATTTATATTAATTAATGCCCACATTTTGAATAAATTCAATAGATTAGGACTTACTCAATAATTAATCAGTAACTAAACGGACACACACCGTAAAGTTAAACTGGTGAAACCAGAAAATATAACTGACTAAATTATATACTTGATTCTTCCCAACACATTTTTAATTAAAGTTGACGATCGCATTGAATATCCATTTTCTGTCATAATATGATATGCTTGCATGGCCCACTCGTCTTTATATGTTTCTCTTTTTTTCAGTTATTGTATTTTTGAAATCGTCAACTTTTTTCTCTGTTTATGACTCTTTCCTAATATTAATAGGTAATTGTTGCCACTGTAGCTTTTGGTATGGGTATTGATAAAGCTGATGTTCGTTTTGTAATACACTTTTCTTCAAGCAAAAGTCTAGAAAATTATTATCAGGAATCAGGTAGAGCGGGACGTGATTCGAACTCCGCGGATTGTATATTAATGTGGCGTTTTTCAGATCTATTTCGTTTAGCCAGCATGGTATCATCTGAGCGAACAGGAATTGCAAAACTTTATGAAATGGTTGGATATTGTATTGATGCGGATAAATGTAGACGTTATTTAATTTCGAAAAATCTCGGTGATGCTTCGTGGTCTACTGATGACTGTAAAAATGCTTGTGACAACTGTCAACGTAAAAGCACAAATAAGTCAGGTGAGTCAAGTATTTTCAAAATAAATCAAATGATTATATCAGTTGATCTCCCCAATTACTGTTTTACAACTGTCCAATATTAAATATTGAATCACATGAATAGATTACTTCTTTATTCCCAAGTAGGTGGTCGATTACACTTAGTGACCAGTCGTTATACATGGATCATCCATGCAAAGTTGAAATCGAATTATGTAGAACTTAACTGTAACATCTTTTCCTGAAGAGTCAAATCTTCTCTTAGTGATTTATGCATTTCAAAGGTGAATTTCACCACAAGTCATTTACCACGCAAAATTTAATTATTTTGTGATAATCACTCCTTGTCTTTGTCACGGTTTTCGCCAAATTGATATAATTATGATATGAAACCAAATGAGGGAAACCTATTTGACAAGTCTTGATACCAGTACACCTAAACTGTATTCCTAACCGGTTCTTATAACCGCAACTACTGTTACATGTCGAGTGGAACAATTGGGAGAAGGAGCGAGTTGTGAGTAAAAGCTTTGCTCTAAGGTTAGTTCGAAGCTATTCGTTGTGCTACACATAACCTTGGGCTTCTGGAGATTTCTGGAACCATACTAAATACAGTGGCAGTATAAGTAAATATCCAGTCCAAACCGTAGCACGTGACTCAGCATATGCTAGATGTTTCTGTTAAACCTATTCAACGTTTATTGCGTAAAACGTTTCCTGGAGTTTCTGGGCCTCTCGAAATTTTGATAGCAGGATATTTTACGACTCCCTCAATAATACTAATTAAGCTCAGCCACCGCCTACCTCAATTTAAAATCTTGGTTGATGCAGAAATAGTTTGGAGCGATCAAAATCAAACATGGCATCAGTCCATGGAATCACTAATTGTTGAACTGAGTCTTTTAGATAGGTAGATGCAGACTACCTGGTTGGTGCCTGCTCGGTAATTATAACCAGCAGTTGCAGACTTTGGGTGATACGGCTCATGCGTTCACTCTTTGTTTTCCCTTTGATCTTCAGTTAAGAAAATGTCTTATACTTTTCCACTCTGCAGATTAATTATTCTCAAATCATATTATGCCTAATTTTCTCTGCTACAACTGATACTGTTACTAGCTCTAATTCTCTCTGAAACTTGTTTTGATAAATTTATTTCTGTGTTGATATGGTGTGACGAATTGAGCTGATTCATAAATGTACCAGGTCCCACACTGCGTATCATTGATTAGGTATTGAGCTTAGTATCATTGTATACTTTGGATTTATTTTTTAAAAATTATATCTGATAAGTCTCGTTAATTTGAACGCTTTATTCGGTTCCTAAGCTATTCTGGTAACCCGCAAGCTATAACTACGCAGCGACCTGAACACGAGAGGAAAAGGCGAAAATCGCTTTACTCCAAAGGTTCCTTTTTGTACAGAAAAACACGGGTATTTATAGATTATTAGCATTTGTCAAATCAACATTATATTTTGGCCAATCCGCTAAGAGACATATTATGCTATTGAACAATAGTAGCATACCACGTTAATATTCTAGAAAGCTCCTTCATGCTCTGATTGGCCGGAACTCTTCGGCTCCTTTAGGGCCTCTGGAGGTTCCGTTGTAGTTCTTGGAAGCCGACTCAACAATATCTTTTATATTCAACTTTCCATTCCAATAATTATCATCATTTTGTTTGCTCTACTTGTCATCTTATTGATTACCGCTTTCATTGCACTGATCTGAAGTTTAATGACATGAATCAATACACATTTATTTCAAGCCCTACACTGTTTAACATTGACTCGATTTCATTGTTCAACTTCTCATGTTTTTTAATATAGATGTATCCACTTTGATTCAAATAAAAACAGATGAATTACTGAATGCAACAAAACAATTATTATTTGATCAAAGTTTAACAAAACAAGAAAGGATAACTGGCCCAAAATTGATTGATCTTATGACTTGTAATAAACAGATACAATCTATCAGTCAAAAATTATTGAATAAAAATCAAGAAAAACCTGAACGTCAATTTTATGAGTATTTCATATCTTGGTGTTTAATTAAACAATACTTAAAATTAGATTTTCATTTTACACCATATTCAACTGTTTGTTATGTTGTAAACAATGACAATTCAGTTGATAATGAAGACATTGAATTAATGCCTTATTTATTATCAATTAAGAAAGAATTGGATAAAGACAAAGTTACAGAAGAGTGTTCTCATGTAGATGCTAAACGAAAAAGAATACGTTCAACTGAAATGGTTGATCTTACATAATTGATTTCAATTTGTTAGCGTAACGCTGTATGCGTAATTTACTTATGTATTATAAATATATTACCTGTGATTTTATGTTTGAATATAAACTATTAACCCTAATTGAAACGTTCATCTTGAATAATAACGACAGTGGTTAACTGGTGTGGATTACTACGTTACGCGAAGGTTGCGACATCAGAAGATGTAGTCCTTTAATGGTCGGTAACCAACGTAGGTTTGTTTGCCCAGATATACCACTGGTGTCGAACCAGAGTTTTCTGAAATCCCTAATCGGACCTTACCGTATTTATCAACAATGTGTAATTAACTGGTGTGCAAACTATGAGATAGACCTTGCTTAGTTTCTGGGTTATTATGATACTGGATATTGTTGAATCCGCAAAAGACATTACTTTATATCACCTTTAACGATAATTTGAATGGTTAGTAAACTTTTCAACCTAAACTAGGAATGACAACAAAATAAGATGGTGGTTGGAGGTAGTCAACAGGAAACTCTGAACCTGATTTTTGTGCTACTTGGCACTCGTCACCAAGGTGTACCCGTTATCTTGAGGGAACGGATGCTTCCTGACGGATTCGATCCCGTGTCACACAGCTTCACAGTTAGAGACGTTATCACTGAGATATCCAGGCCGCGACCGACCTTCTGTATGACTGAGATGTGATCACAATTGATTGATCACTGGGTGGTGATCAATGTCACGTGTGTCAAGTCCTTCTTAGTGCAGATCGAATCATGATGCCTTAAGTGTTGATCTTAATGACAATAATTGATATGTGTAGCCATGATATGTACATGTTGTAGGCTACTGAGAAGAATAGGGGTACAAATTTACCTAACTTCAATAACAATATTTCAGGAACTAGTTCTAGATAGTAAATTGAACTCAAACTTGTTGATGTGATTCTATTCACGAAATAGATAAAACCAGTATTTACGCAAAAATGTAAAACAGCTTTACCTAAACATTCTCACGCTGATCAGAAGTAATTGCTGTAAAGTTACCATTAATCACGAACACGAACATTGAATTACGAATAACTGAGAAGCAAAAAGTAGACACAAGACAGGAAATGGATAGAAGAAAGATGTATAGTGCGCAAATTATCTTTTAAGAAAAAGCAATAAGATCATAGAAAAAACATTTTGTACAAAAGAAACAAATAAATTCTACTGTTATGTACAGTCAAATTAAATTCTTTAGAAACATCAAGTGTCTGATCGTTCTTTATCTTTCAAAGATGTTTTTAATTCTCCTGGGATGGGAACTGGTTTCTCAGGATTATGATCTATAGTTTGGTGTAGTAAAATACCAAGTACACCACCACGTTGAGATATGGCACGTCGTAGTCTTTGTTCCTCTTGCATTAATTCATCCATTTCAATTAGCTGAAAAATAATATTGCAAAAGAAAATTGTAACGAAGTCATGTGATTAGAATAAAATGCAAACTAAAAGAAAATAAACTGTTCAATATAATTACGTTGTCTATCTCAAATTGCTAAGTACAGTAAATCATTTCCATAACAAGCCTCATTTTTTGATTATATATAAAAATGTTTGTTATTGAGTGGATGTTTCTAAGCTCCTAAACTATTGTCCAATGTGCTTGGACAGTAACTTGAACCACGATTTGTTAATTAACCGAGACGTGGGAACGTATGTATACCAAGCAGCCTGCTTAACATACCGAAGGAGCATTTTGCCAACAAAATGAGATAAATAGATAGTACTCAAAAATATAATAGTATGACATATTAGACACAAGCACTTAGAATACACCTATTCAACAATTTCTACTCTGATATTTATGCTTACTTTCTGTTGGTATTCTAGCTTAACAGCTTTAAATCCACAGGCTTAAAAGTTTGTTAAGAGACCTAGCTACCATATTCAGCTTTTGAACAAATTAATATTTTATCCTTGTGTTTGCCTGCTATCTTTAACTGGTTCGTCAGTTAAAAATAAATAGCTGAGATGGTAAGCAAATACTGAATCGATTGGTGTGCGAGTAACACATGACACTGACTTTTTTCAAGTCGTCTGTGACATGTAATCGCATCCTAAGTAGAAATTATTATGTAATTTATTCCAGTCTTTTAGATATAGATGCTTAACTGTGTAGGATTGTAAATATGAGTTGAGACAGTAGGTTATTAACTGATGTTAAATACTACTCAGTTCAATTTGTACAAATATGACTGCACATAAATTATGTACAGAGTAGTATATTCATCTATAATTTTAATTTATTTTAGGGTTCAAAAAAAAACTCAAATGATACATGGCTTTGTGTTCTTACTTCCGTCATCCGATGCAGGGTTTATCGGTACCAAGTCAGTTAAGCGACCATAACGAGTCAAGTTTGAGAATTAGGTGTCTTAGAAATGGCAACAGGTTAACATTAGTTTAGTTCAGTATATTAACAGCACAAGATTGTAAGTTGCAGTATCATTTTGTCAATTTATTCGTTTTATGGTCTTATTATAATAGGCTTATCTAACTGAGACAATTTGTGAACAAACTATTAGAAAACATTACTTACACAGCGATATCGTTCCAAGTCTATTTTCGCTCGACGTAGACGTTCCCAACCAAAGTGTTTAGTGCACTTATTGCGCGGTACACAACAAAATTCACCAGTTTCTTCAAAGACATTGTGAACAAGCGGTGATCCACATACTGTATCTGCAGGTAGCTTCGGTTCTTTATAATGCTCACAGACTACACGTAATCGTTTACAATATGCTCTAGCCTGTGAGTCGTAAGCATCACAAAATAATGGTGTACCCATGATTTGCTCCTTTTGATTAGCACAAAACACAGTGTTTCCTTCCATCTGGAAAATATTTCATGAAAAAACATTCGTAGATCTAGTGCATAAATTTAAAAACAGTGCAAAAGAACGATAAATAATGAATTATTCTAACTTACCTTTTGAAAACATTTCTCCATATGCTTGAGAGCATGTCGCATACTGATTTCAGCTGAGCACGTAACACATATGATGGGTTCCATCTGTTCCACTTGTTCTGCGTCATGAGCAACCGCAGCAAGCTTAATAATGATAATGAAAAGATCATAGACTGATAAATAGATGAGTTTATACACAAGTGCACCTGACAAGAACAAAGAGTAAGCTCTGTGAAAACAGTAGATTTTTAAAACAGTAAACTAGAGGTTCGAACTTCGTATTACCTGCTATGATCTGGAATCCGACAATAGAATCATTTAGTACTCTGTCATCTTCAATGATTCGTTAACTGATACCTATGTAATACCTAGGATGAAAATGTATCGGTTCAAATTAACTCATTATACATCAGCGCAATCAGAGAACTGATCTACAAAATGAAACCAGGAGTAAAAGTAATACACTGACAAGAAAAAAATTATCCACATAGAAATAAAAAATTGCCTGACTTGAGAGAAATTACCATTTGTTCATTGTTTCGTCCAGTTTTTCGCTCTTGAGCTCGACTGATAAGTCCCGTAAGCTTTTGATGCTCCATTTCTAATTCAACCAAGCGATTGTGTACTACACACTGTTCCTTACTAATTTCTTTAAGACGCAATTTGTCAATAACGGTAGCCATACAATCCGGTAGCCTTTCTAATTCAGAAAGAGCCGTTCCGGCTTTTGTAAACAAGTCAGGATACCAAGCATGAAAACTTTCTGGTAGTAGAGTTTCTAAGCGCCTAAAAAAGAAAATGTGTAATTTATCAGTCTTAAAAAGCTCTGTAATGAGTAGTGAACTGAAGTAGTGAGAAAGTTTATTTTACAAACTTTAAGCTACTTCAATTTTATTCTCATCAAAGTACTCCTTATTTGAAGAAAAATAATTATCTCATTTGTTTTCCTTGTCCAATATATCAGTGAAAGTCAGGCTCGCTATTTTACGTGCAACCACACACGTATCATTCGCATGCTATAAGGGACTAAGTTTTTCTCAACTGTTGGTTAGGTATCAGCAACTTTGACAAAGGTTTCATACAGAAATTCCAAGCCTTGAATGTCCTACTAGAATTATGTGTGCAGATGATTGATTTTTCTGAACTCAACTCACCAGTAATCACTCAGGGAGTGAACTAACGACCCGAAAGCATTTAGAGCTATACAAGTTTGATATTTTTATCAACACAGAAACTAGATAATCGTCCATAACTGACAGTATTATTAGACCAATTCGCGTATTCTTTAAACAGGCAGTATATAACGAGGTATTACTGATCAAGTAAATGAGTTAGATGCCAAAACAGATGTTCATTTTACGACTTTCTGCCCATGAACAGACCGTTCAAACCCGAAAAATGAGTCCCACATTCGACTTAGGTACTGAATATGTATTCAGCTTTTATGTCATAAATAACGCCTAGTACTAATGGTCATAGCAATATAGGTTGCAATCTATAACAATTGAGGTAGGACTAGTAAAACCAGTGAGTCACTCGAAATTTTGAAAGGAGCCTCACATGATCTCAGCCAATAATCGAACAGCTAAAGGTTGAGTGCCTTAAGTGTTATAAAATAGTATTGTACCGGCATATATAAAAGAAGCGATAAATTACGCCATTATAGACTGCTTGATAGTAATTTAAAGGGGACACAGTAAATATTTTCATAAGGGATTTTTGTGTCTTATTACTTTTAAATATTTATAAGTCATTAGAGTTTAAAAATGTGGTTTATAAACAAAGTATCTCGTAAATGAAGCAAAGTACAGATAAGCTACAAACCTGATGGCAAGTTTAAGTCCACATTCATTTGAACAATATTTTGTATCTGGTCTTGCAGCAGCTCGAGTGCATCCAGGACCGAAACATTGTCGAGGCTTTTTTAGTTCGTTAGGTATTAGTGAATCAAATACTTTTCGTGGGTTGCTATTATTTGTCTTTGGTTTTTCGACTCGACGTGTAGTAATCTTACGACCAGATGATGTATGAACAGTCCTAGCACTTCCACCTTGATAGCGATTAACAGTTCTAGGTCGACCAACGGATTTGGAAGATTTATTGGAAGAAACAATACGACTACTCCCTGGATTGTAAGCAGCTGTCCTTGGCAAGCTACTGCCAATTCTGCGCTGAGAACGATCTCCATGTGAACTTTTGCGGTGTGAACTGCAACTATTTCCAATTTTACGTGAACCAGTGAGTTGTGTTCGAGAAGCGCGACTAGGACGCTAAAAATTGATAATTTAGAGTGAACAAAAGCTTCGCAATTGAAAACCTAGGAGAAATTATTTCATTAAGACGATAAAAGAGAACAACTTTTTCAGTTACAGTAAAGTAAAATTAGTTACAATTAATAATGTTCAAGTATACCAAACGATAATACGAGTGGTTAGTCCTACTACATTCGCAGACCAATGGTCCAAAATATCATCTGCTTCGGTCTGGGCACCCGGGCGGTATTATCGCCCACACAAATCAAGTGACATATGTGGCGCATATGTATTTGGTGCCTCTTTGTACCAACATTTTTGTTCAAATAAATAAATAAATAGGTCCAAAATATTGAAAGAAGCACATGAAACTGTAGAAAGATAGGAATTACACGTTCTAGACGATAGCCACCTATGTATACTAAAGCCAATGACAAGTATCTCGAACTATTTAATGAATAATGTTCTATACTTCTACACAGTGGAGTACATTAACATTATCCAGTTAGCTGCATTTAATCCTAAAAACTTCGGTTCTTATTAGTATCCACAAAATTAAGACAACCTTGAAAAACTTAATATCATCTTCTTATCTTATATAATAATTTGATCACTTGAATTATTGTAAACAAATAATTAACGATGAAGTAGGATGGAATCAACACTTATTAATTGTGATAACTTAATTACAGTTTATAAATCTCTTAACTGTAGCCCACCGCACATAAATCTTAGCGTTAATAAATCGTTATGCTTAAATAGGAAGACACCACAGTAATTTAAAATAGCCAGCTTCGACACTAAATATCAGAAAAATTTCCGACGATAAGACATGACTACCTTTGATTTTAATAGGAGATAAAAAATCTGTTGTGTACATCAGGAAAAAATAAGGAAAATTAACTGTTGACTTTTGATTCAACGGTGCCTAAATGAATACAATTGAGCATATCACGCACAAAAGTTTTTGCAAAATGAGAAAGACGTACATTTCCTAGTTAAAACCCACCCAATACTTTTTTGTCAGACATCGTTATAATGATTATCGCTAACTTTCCTTCAATCAAAAGGAGATGTGAACGTTCAGCTATCGATAGATTGCGTTTAATTGTAATGTTAGACTGTTAAGGGGAAACATGTTAGACGGATTACATGTTATTTTGGATGTTATATTTCTCTCTCTCCCAGCTATTCCTATTGCTTAGTATTCACGGACACCAATTCACTCGACAAGTCCCCAAATCAGAACACGGTTCAACAGGAAAGAGATTATATTCCAAATAACAAGGTTAGATGGAAGTAAGAAGCACAATAGGAAAACCGTTAGTATATTTATAGTTTTTACATGAGAATATACATGAGATTATTCTCCAAGAAACGACTAGCGCTGATTGGACAAGAATTAGCCAATCAGCGCGCGCCAAAAGAATCGTGCATTAAGCATGCTTTAATCTAATCTATATCCCGCTAACAGGATGCTATACTTACTAAGAGGTATATGCTAAAACGTGAGCAAATTAAACTTGATAAGCCTACGTAAGTAACTTTACAAAATTTGGACACTGGATTAATTAACTAAAGCAGTTTTCATTTGAAATGATATTCCCATCTCGTTGTTCCTCTTCAGGCCAAATTTCCTTCATGATATCGTGTGAAATGCAACGAACTGATTATATCTACCTCAAACAAATATAGTTGAACACCTGAAAAAGGAATAGCATATCATACTGTACAACTACATCTTATTACTGCCACTAAACCAGGAATTCTCTTTCGACCTGCTATGTACATTTAAAATCAAATCTACGATGTAAAAACAATGGGGTTCCTAGTATAAATGACCAAAATTAACCTACTTTTTTCTCGTAATCGGAAGCAACCCAGTCCTCATCTTCTGCATCGTCATCCTCATCAAAGTCATTGTCATCATCACTAACAAGGCCTTCAACGTTACTATCATCAAAATCATCACAAGTTTCATGTCCATTCGATGAGACGCGATTTGTGGCTGACCAGTTATCAGAGAGAACGGACTCCTTGTAACTTTTTGATAAATCACTTCGATGACTGCTACCTTTTACAAATTTATCACGAGGACTGTTTTGACTGAAAGATTTAGTATCGGCAACATTGTCATCCCATTCACAAGAAATTTCTCTTCTGTTAGGCAAATTCTTCTCGTGATTGTATTTTTGGCTCATTTTGTGGTGAACGTGCAAAATTTGTCACACTTTAGAAGCCAAAAAGAGAAAGATGATATTACTCGATATGACAGTTCATGTTTGTGTGTGGGCTGAGATAAGGCCCGGGTGCCCAGACCGAGGCAGGTGGTTTTCTTAGGGAGCCACGCCCCGAGCCCTTGACCTAAAGGTCTAACCCACAAGGCAGTGGAGCATCGTGAGGAGATGCAGTCCCATAGAAGCTGGTGACCACGACTCCCTGGCTGGGGTCCGAGAGATGGTGTAACACAGTGGCTACAAACGTTATCAGATATGGCTCAGAATAGAAGCCAGTGGCGATCCTGCTGTAACCTTATTTTATTTTTTTCGAAAAAAAAGGTTGCTTCTTTCTTAACTGAAAGATTTCTTCTGATTGTACCTTTTCGTTTCCCCGATTATTACTACTATTACACTACCTTACACTAATCAGGTCGTTATTGTTCTCTTTTTTTATAATTCCCAACGCTCCTTACCTTTTTTCCCTTCTCTTTAAATCCTCATTGTTTTGTATGGCGCATATATATTTGGTGCCCCCCTTGTACCAGCATTTGTGTTCAAATAAATAAATAAACTCGATATGACTACTTTTGTTAATTTTCAGCTGAAACTTCATTTTAAATAGGAAAGTCAAGCTGGTGAGCCGGTAGCTCTGATCGATTGTCATAAATATTATGGCGATTGCCTGTTCCTGACTAGTAGCAACTTCAGCCAAAATCGAAGACAATTAGGACTGAGTTACCTCTGGTAAAACGTTAGTTATATATATGGACTACTGTTTGGAAAAGCTGCTTTACTTAGATTATGGCTACGTCTAAGCTCCAGTACATTCGTATGTTCTCAAATAAATAACTAAAATAAATCATACAAATTAAAGTGATATCAATGGTATACTTCAGAAGGAAGTGGCTGCATGGATATCGAAGTATGAAAGTAAGAGTGATCATGTAGTGGTTTGAAAGAAACTGTATTTCTGTAACTTTGATCGACCTTAAGTCATGTTATGCTACACATACAGATAACTATATGAGATATTTCGCTACCAAAAAAATAAAAACTGTCATAAAATTAATTAACACACCAACGTATGACACTGACCCTAATGATAAAGCTACACGAAATACAAGAAGTTTGAAACTTGGCTGACTTCGCGAGCAATAAATACTGAGTTCTGACAACTAGCCGGATGACAACAGTGACATTATACAGTGAAAAATAGCGTCGTGGTGCTGGTTGCCACGGCATTCTGGACTGTTTTACATCATGTTTAGCACTAAATTCCGTTGTTTTGACTACCAGCTTTTTTAAATAGTCTTCCTTGTTATCTGTTACGGGTGTGAACAATCCTGACATTTTCCGTGTTCCAGAAGACGTTCCATATCAATATTTTGGCTCCAGATGCCCGTATCCCGCATAAAATCAGACAAGTCTTACTATCGAATACGGAGTTTACGTGCCATTGAAAAACTACACGTGACAAATAAATACTGATTGGTAATACTGTGTGCAGCGGATAAGGGACCAATATAACTACAGTTGTATCGGCGGTATACCGTCGAAGCAATATGTTGAGGTAATTTTTAACAAATAGAGATAGACTATAGAGTTCCTTCTCTTTAGTACAGAAATGTGATGACCTATTAACTGAGTATTTCTAGATATAACAGTTTTGTCCTATAATTTAAAATCTGGAACCATCAAAACTTTTAATTTTGAGTTCAGAAATGTCTTGTAATTTTAAATGCTTGTCAGAACACCAGCGGAAGAAAATTTGTAGGTAGCTTTTTTGAAATGCAGTTTAAGAACAGCAACCACAATCAACAAACAGTCCAATGATTCAGGATTACACATCAAACAGCATGAAAAGCGGGATATTTTAGAGACAAGTCTTAAATGAATTATCACTTTTCGCTACTATTTGAGGCTGACAAGGTAAAAAAATTGCTTTGCTTAAAATATTTGAATATTTCAAGCAATCTCAAATAACCAATAAAGTGGAAAAAAGCCAAAAAGGAAATGAATCAAACGAGAATGTAGATAAGAGGGTAATGTCGATTACCTCCCTTTACGTCGTTTATTTGGGGGAATTTCTTAGGCGAATTTTCGTAACGTACGTGTCTGAATATACCGCCTCCAGCACTTATATTTTCTGAGACGTATACAAAATAACGTACGTCCAACGCATTTTTTCTTCTTTTCGCCCTTATTTCCCTTTCATTGGTTGTTTGGAAGAATATGCTTTTAAACCACTTACAGGCATGCTGTAATATTAAATCTAGAAACGGGTTAGTGACTATAGGCGTAATATACCGTAGTCCGTGTTGTCTTGCTGACGACTTTATCCTAAGACACATCTGTTCTTGGAGTATTGCAGAATATTGCCTCGTCATTAGGGACTTCAATGCACCGCACATAAACTGGATAGAGCTTACAGTTCTAGGCGGATGTTTTGATAGCAAAATTTTATCAACAGTTATTCAGTGTGCACTTGTCCAATGTATCACTAAACCGACACATATTGATTTGAAACGTGATCCGTCACTGATGGACCTCGCCTTCACCCACCACTGTGAGGATGTCTTTGATATTCAGCACCTTCCTCCACTAGTGAACAGTGTTCACGTTGAACTTCACTTTAATTTTAGGACACATGGTATACGATTTGTATCTGCTCCACCCCGTCCCAATATCTGGCGGGCTAATATCTCGACAATCAGAGACTGTGCTATCTCGAATGATTGGTTGGTTGACGCAGATGGATCAATCGAAGAAGAATGAAATAAGTTTAAAGCTACATTCGAGTCCGTAACGTCGCCGGTTATCCCATGGTCAGCACGTAAGCTATCGCATTGCCCTACATGGATTATTAGGGAAACCTGTAAGCTGTTAAAGCGTAGGAAACACTTCTGGGACTTATTCTTGTTGACAGGTCATGCATCATTTAAGCGTAAGTACCAAAACCTCCGGAATATTTGTAAGAAAACAATAGCTAAATCCCGTACTACTTACGAACGACAGTTGGTATATGATAACCGTACTTGTCCAAAACGATTGTTTTCGTATGTTAAACGGCAGATAAAACGTAGTGATAATATTCCCCCCTTATTGTTACACGATAATTCAGATTTACTAGCTGAATCAGATCGAGCCAAAGCTGAGACATTTTCAAACTACTTTAGCGAAGTATACTCCACGTTTATTGTAGCAAATACTTGTCCCAATCACACCGAGATACCAGCCACCGAATCTGTACAGGTGACTGAGGAAACTGTCCTTCCGTTAATAATTAACCTCAAACCTTGTAAGATACCGGGTCCTGAAGGATTACATCCACGACTGCTGTCATCTCTTGCGGACATTATTTCAAAACCGCTCGCGACACTCTTCAACATGTCCCTTTCACTCGCTCAACTACCTAGGGATTGGAAAGATGCTATTGTCAGTCCTATATTTAAGGATGGTCAGAGACAGATCGTATCTATCTACCGGCCTGTCAGTCTGACTAGCATTTCGTTAAGTTACTTGAAAAGATAATTCGGGTTAGGTTGCTAAGCCATATAGATTCACACAATCTGTTAGCTCCTGAGCAACATGGATTTCGTGATAAGCTTTCATCCTTGACTAGCTTACTTATTGCGAGAGAGGATTGGACAGCAGCCTTAGATGAAGGTCTGTCTGTCGATATTATATTCATAGATTTTAGCAAAGCATTTGACAAGGTTTCAAAATTAGGTCTTATGCAGAAGCTCACAAGCTTCGGAATAATAGGTACTGTACAGGAGTGGATAGGAAACTTCTTATGTGACCGCAGACAGAGAGTTAGGGTCAATGGGACGCTATCCGATTGGAAGCCGGTCAAAAGTGGTGTACCCCAAGGCACCATATTAGGCTCTCTGCTATTCCTTCTCTGCGCAAATGAGTTACCGCTGTTGCTTAGGTCGTCGGCATTATTACTTGCGGATGACGTAAAAATCTGGAGAACAATAAAAAGTGAGGCTGATAATCTGAATCTCCAAGTTGACTTAGACGATTTAGTTAGATGGGCTCGAGATTGGGGTTTAGAAATCAATTCTAGGAAGAGTGTGCTAATGCACATCGGTCACGGCAATATTTACCATTATACTATTGATGGTTAACCTCTTCCTTGCGTTCAAGAACATAAAGACTTGGGATTAATGATAAGTCATGGCCTAAAAACAACTACGCATTGCAACGCAGCCGCTGTCAAAGGTTTTCGTGCGTTGTGGTCACTTCGCCGGGCGTTCAAAACTTTTGACGAGGAAATGTTTCGAACTTTATATCCCACCTATGTAAGACCACATTTAGAACACTGTATTCAAGCAGCTAGCCCATGTCTGGTAAGGGATACTAACTCACTTGTGCGTGTCCAGCGTGTGGGAAAGAAATTAGTGAAAAGTCTTTCTAAACTCCCTCAAGATGAGCGTGTAGCGTGGTGTCGAGTTGAGCTTGACTATGAACACCGCTACCAGACTACGTGCCAATAGACCAATAAGATTCCGGTAGGCCAAAAATCAGAAGGCAGATGATGGCTGTAGTCGAGATGTATTTGTTGGCGATCTCGTGGTATCGAAAGAATACCGAGATCGTGCCAAAGGAGTACAAGTGTGGGTACTGAGCGTAACCGGATTCGTACAAGTTCAAAGTCAACGGGAGAGTAAGTATATTGGCTGTCATTAGCACAGTTAAACAAACGAGCACAATAAAACAATCACTGGTACAATTGGTTATAATAATAATTGTTTTCATCGAACCAATCGCGTTCTGTTGATAAAAGTAGGTCACTACAGGAGCCCCCTGCTAGAAAGGGCTTACACTTTCGATAGTTAGCGGTTTGATTCGTGGGACTGATCGGCAGAAGTGCGGTTGTAGGACGGAGGAAATTGGCGGAACAGGATGTGATCGTTGATCCTCGAGTTGCCAACGAAGGTCTTTTGCGCAGAACGGTACCAGAAGTGTGCTGTATTTATTGGTCGAATTAGCATACCACACCAGAGTGGTTTGTATCCAGAATCTGATGATTGCGTTCGTAGGGATTTGAACCAGAAAACGCTGCAGACGTAGGACGAAACCACGTTGAGCCAAGAAACCGGACGCGACCATAACGACCAAGCATATGCCAGGCGAATTCGAGACCAGATAATCGACTGAGTGCGTTGACTAGAGCATGGGTGGCCAAACCAGCTTTTGCCAAAGTTGACTGAAGTCGACGTTATTAAACGGGCGATGGTCGGAGGCGTGGGCTCAGGACACAAAAAAAGTCAAAAAAAAGAAAAGTGTAGCATGCGTGTAGTATAGGAATAATCCTACACCGTATCCAATGTTGACTGTGCGGTTAGTCGCGAAAGCGTACCGGTAATCGTACTCGGCGACCGGAACGTGAGACGGTGGTCTCGTTCGTGCTTCGTGAGCCTGCGATCTCATCCGAGGTCAAGGGCGGCGTGGTCTGCCGATCTGGACGTGAGACTGAAGTCTCGTCCGTAGATGGTGCAGATGACGCGTGCGGTTGACCGGGACGTGAGAACGAGGTCTCTGATGTATCTAGCGTGGGATCCGAGGTAGACATAGAGATCCCGCTGGAAGGTTTGATAGGTCTAGCATTGAGTCTCAAGTTATCGGGTAGGGCACTGTCATCGACGTGTGCTGGTTTGAGACGATCAATGCTGACGATCTCGACGCGGCCGTGTCGATCAACCTTGAAGGTCTTTTCGTGACGAGAGATCACGTGAGAAGGGCCTTCTTAAGGCTGTTGTAAAGGTTTGCGTACCGAATCTACTCGTATAAAAACATGTGAACAGGTAGATAACTCTCGAGGAGAGCGACCTGTCGATGTTGTATTCGGTTGACACCGGAGACAGCGTTCGCATAAATGCAGACGGTCGATGGAAGTAGTCTGATTTACCGAAATTATTACTGCTCCGTGGTGTGAAGAATTCCCCAGGCAGACGCAATGTCGTGCCGTATACAAGTTTAGCGGCGGAACATTGGATATCTGCCTTCAAACTCGTTCTGATGCCTAAGAGAACGAGCGGTAAGGTTTCGTACCAATTATCGTTTTCGTATGCTCGAAGAGCACTTTTAAGTTGGCGATGAAACCGTTCGACTAAACCATTCGATGCTGGATGGTAGGTGGTAGTGGGTATGCGTTCCGTACCAAGCAGCCGGGTCAGTGAGGAGAATAATGCGGACTCAAATTGTTGTCCTCGGTCAGTCGTGACAGTCGAGGGACAACCGTACAATGCTATCCATCGTTCTACGAAGCGGTGAGCAACTGTCTCCGCCGTGATAGACGTGATGGGAATAGCTTCGTGCCATCTTGTAAAACGGTCAATGCACGTGAGTATGTGATCATACCCATGCGATGGTGGCAATGGTCCTACAATGTCTATATGTACGTGATCAAAGCGAGCATCAGGCGTAGCGAACGTGCCAATGGGGCAGCTACGTGCCTGTGCACTTTTGATCGTTGACATTGTTAGCATGGCTTTACCCATATACGAACATCTTTATTCATGGACGGCCAGACGTATCGTGCAGCGGTGAGACGTAATGTGGCTGCGATACCTGGATGAGACAATCCATGAAGGGCATCGAAGACGAGACGGCGATAGGTAGAGGGTACGATGGGTCGAGGAAGACCGGTAGAAATATCACATAGGATAGTACCTGAGCTAGTAGCTAGGGGTACTTCCTGACACTGAAGGGACGAAGATTGTGATGCTTCTGTACAGACAGGATCGTTTGCTTGCGCGGCGGCCATAGCAGGAAGATCGAGCACCGGTAAAGTAACTGCATTCGTCTGGATACGTGATAGGGCATCGGCAACATAGTTCGACTCGCCTTTAATGTGACGAAGGTCTGTCGTGAACTGTGAGATATAGTCCAAATGTCTGCACTCTCGTGGTGAGTAGCGGTCAGACTTGGTATGCAGGGCACACGTTAAGGGCTTATGGTCGGTGAATAAAATGAATTGGCGTCCTTCTACTGCGTGCCGGAAATGTTTGATGGCGCAGTAGGTTGCTAGCAGCTCGCGACCAAAAGCGCTATATCTCGTCTCCGTGGGAGTAAGGCGTCGTGAGAAAAATTCAAGGGGTTGCTAACTACCGGAGATATTCTGTTGCATAACGGCTCC